GAGGCTCATTGTCTGGGGAGAGAAGGCGAGACATAGACAGGCAGTGACTTAGTGTCATCGTCCCAGGATGAGAAGACTCTTGGAGTGAGGGTGGGATGGGGGCCTCAGGGCAGGCTTCACTCCACCTCACTTCCTAATCGAGTGCACGATTCTGGATGTACTCAGGCTCTATCAGCATGATGAGGGTGTGCCCTTCAGACCCCCAACTGCAAGAATGGGATTGACCTACAGCAACAGCCACTATCCCCTGAAACCCATCACGTGAGCGTGCCAAGGCCACTCTGCCCAGGAGTTGCTCCATTCAATGAATGAGCGTGGCAGGGAAATTAAGGCAGGCTTGGCCCGGGAGACAGGGGACTCCTCTGAAGGCTGATGTTGGCTTGAGGACTTCAGTCCAATCCTCTCCTTCCCTCAGCACCAGACTGGCATCGTGGTCTGATGGCTCTCAGCCTTCACTGGCTCCCTGCACATTTTTTCTGTTATGGGTTGAGTAGTGTCCCTCCTAAAATATATGTTGAATTCCTGGCCCCTTGGAGCCCTGGTGACACAGTGGTTAAGAGCTTGGCTGCTAACCAAAAGGTTGGCAGTTCAAATCTACCAGCCGCTCCCTTGGAAACCCTGTGGGGCAGTCCTCCTCTGTCCTATAGGGTTGCTATGAGTCGGAATTGATTCAATGGCAACAGGTTTGGTTTTTTGTTTTTGGTACATGTGAATGTGATCCTGTTTGGAAATAGGTCTTCTCTTTTGTTATGTTAATGAGAACTTTCCAGTGTAGGATGGGTCCTCAACTTAATCACGTCTGAGCTATATTCAGACCAGAACAGTCACAGAGACACACATACGGAAGACAGACACCAAGAAATGCCAAGGATTGCAGGTACAAACAGAAACTAGAGAGAGGCTCACAGAAGGAATTGACATGGCCAACACCCTGAATTGGACTTTTACCCTCCAGAATTGTGAAAATAAATGTCTGTTCTTACAAACCACCCAATGTGTGGTATTTCTGTTATGGCAGCACTAGGGAACTAAGATGCTCTCATGTAGACTTAGTCCAGTAAAAATCTATGCACGCTTAATTCTATCTTGGTGTCTGCTTCCTGGAGGAGCTGGACGGACTCACTCAGTAAATCCAATCAATAAAAATCCATGCTCTTGTGGAGCTATGTGGAGCCTTCAAGCTGGACAAAAGGAGGAACAAGGCATTTCAACAAGGGAGCCATCATCCTCCAGTTCTCTCAATGGCCCTTTGAGACTGGCATCTATATTATGGGATTTTGGGGAAGGATCTTCTTTAACTACTGCTGGTCTGCCAGCTTGTTGTACTGCGATGGTTTGCATGTTACTGTGTTGCTGGAAGCTCTGCCACTCATATTTCAAATACCAGCAGGGTTACCCATGGTTTCAGTGGAGCTTCCAGACTAAGACAGACTAGGAAGAAAGACAAAAATGAGCCAGTGAAAACCTATGGATCACAATAAATTGTCTGACTTGCTTACTTTGGACAGGAGGGATCAATTGCTAGAGGAGGATATCATGTTTGGTGACATACAAGGCCAATGAGGGTGAGGAAGACTCTCAGTGAATTGGACTGGCACAGTAGCCTCAACAAGGAATCAAACATGGCAGCAATCGTGAGGATGATGTAGGACTTGGAGATTTTTTGTTCTTTTGTACATAATGTTGCCATGAGTCAAAGTTGACTTGATGGCAGCTATCTATCTATCCATCTATCTGTCTGTCTATCTATCATCTATCTATACATCTATCTATCTACCTATCCATATCTATCTATCCATTCTTCATCTGTCTGTCTGTCTATGTGTGTATCTATCCATCTATCTATGTATTTTCCATAAGGCCCCAGACCCTCTCTATGGGACCCTAAGCCCTGGACTGGATCCAGGATGCCCACTCCTCTCTACGTCTTTGCTTCCTTCACCCTCTTGACAAAGACCTACTTAATATACAACAAATGTTTGTTGATTGGTCAATTTTGGCCACATGATTATATCACCACAGCTGAGGCTGCTACAGCATTTTTGTACTTTGCAAATCTTTCTTGCACCCACGTCTTACTTGATCATCCTTCTAATCTGTTGAGATAGACATTTGTGTTATTCCCATTTTATTGGTGTGAAAAACTGAGCCTCTGTCCGAGGATGGGCCACTTGCCTGGAGTCTCACGGCTACAGAGTGGGGAAGAAGTGATGGAATCCAGCTTCTTTCACACTTTATCAACCCTGAACCCATGAACCCACCAGGGCACAAAGCCAGCCTTCGCAGAGTGCCGGGGGGCATCAGACCAGCAGCAGTGACATTACCAGGTATAAAGAGGAAAAGAAAAGTGTGAAAATTAATGGCTGGCACCAGAATTTCTCTTAAGCAAAGAACTGTCGTGGTTGAGAAAATTATTTTGATAAAATGCTTGGAGTCAAAGGTGTTTGCCGTACACTTATATGTCAGCTAGCTCCAAAGCTTCAGAAGGGGAAGGAAGGTGCTCAACACATTCAAAGGAGCAGAACTGGGAGCTCCAGGGGCCATTGTAGGAGATGGCAGAGGGGACCATGAGCAAAGAGGAGAAGGGAGAGGAAAAAGCAAGCTGGAGGAAGCAGAGGTCACGCATCTTGTGAAACAACTCCCCCCCACACTGTGACCCAGCATAATAAATGCAACAGTCTTAAGTGCAGCCCTGGGAATGCAGTGGTTAAGAGCTCAACTAAGCGAAACATCTGTAGTTCAACTCCAACAGCCGCTTCTTGGAAATCCTATGGGGCAGTTCTACTCTGTCCTACAGGGTCGCTATGAGTCGGAATCAAATTGATGGCACACAACAACAGCTCCAGAGCCAGACTGTCAAGCTTTCAAATTCCAGTTCTGCCCTTTGCTAGCTTTGTGTCCTTGGTCAAGGTTGCCATCCCAGCCTCAGTTTCCTCATCTTCAAATGGGGGTAATAATGTGATTTACTTCCCACAGTGGTTGTGAGGATTGAATGAGTTAATGCCTGTGAAATTCTTGGAACGATACAGCGCAGCCGTTGCTGAGTGCATCCACCTCTCCTAACTAGACCCTCACCTCCTGAGGGCAGGATGCTCCTCATCCTCTGCTCTTTCCCTGGTGTCTGGAAGAATGCCCAGTGCAGTAAGTTTCCACTGTTTGCTGAATGGAGTGAAATTAGCCCTTTTATTAGCACAGATGCAAACCGCAAAACAGTATTCTATTTCAACCTCAGGCCAGTATCTTGTTTCTTTTTATAAAGTGCATATGCAATATTTATCATTTTTTTACAACTGTACTTCTCCCTCACTCCCTCCTGTGCGATGGAATGAAATTTTTTAAATTGTCTACATTGTCTGGCATTTACGTGTACTGCCCATCCCAGCTGTACCTAATTGGAGCATTTCCCAAAGGCTCTCTGCAAGTGGAGCCAGAGGGGTTGAGGGCATCCTGCCATGCCAGGCCAGGAGGGACAGAGTAAGATGGATGGCTGACTTCCAGCAATCTAAAGCCAGATGCTTTCAGGAATCAGATCCACTTGGCGCTTTCTCATCTACAGAGCCTCCAACCTGCCTGACAACCAGCATCTTGCCTTTCCCAGCCTCCTTCCCTGAAGCTGGGCTTTGGGAGGGTTTGCCTCCACAGGCCCCATGGGATGTCACCCTAGAACACCACCCTTCCATTTTCCTTTCCCGGCATCCCTGTGTATGAGGTGGTGGGGAGAGAATTGACCTTGGGTTCCAATTCTGCTTCTGTCACTTACCACCTGTGAGATCAAAGTAGGGGGTTACTAACCAGTCTCCACTGCTAGCTGAAAGTTTGGCAGTTTGAGTCCACCCAGAGGCATCTTGGAAGAAAGGCATGACAATCTACTTCTAAAAATCAGCCACTGAAAACCCTACGGAGCACATTTCTACTCTGGGGTTGCCATGAATCGGAGTCATTTTGATGGCAACTGTTTAGAGTCCCTGCATGGTGCAAATGTTAAGCACTTGGTTGCTAACCGGAAGTTTGGAGGTTTGAGTCCACCCAGAGTTGCCTCTGAAAACAGGCCAGGTGACCTATGTCCAAAACATCAGCCATTGAAAATAATATGGAGCAGTTCTACTCTGACACACATGGGGTTGCCATGAGTCAGAGTTAACTCAACGGCAATGTTTTTTTTTCTTTTTTTTTTTACTGTGGGCTTCTGGGGAGAGAAGGCTCTAATCCTACCCCACTCCCAAGAATGAAAGCTCTGTAGTTTCCACCATATTTTCAAAGGCATTTACCAACCAAAGACCTTCAGAACCACAAGTCTTGGGCAAGTCAGTTCAGCTCTGTAAGCCTCATTTTCTTTATCTGCAAAATGAAGGTAATGGTAACGTCTTCTGGTTTCACTTCATAGTGATGTTATAAGGGGTAAGCAAGAAAATGGATCTGAGCCATAAACTGCTAGAGAAATATAGGGAATTATTAATAATTCTTTATGCCATTTATTACTGCAGAAAATACTTGGGCAGTTTGGGTTTTAAAAGATGTTGCATTAAAACACTAAAGACTAAATATAATTCTCTATCTTTTCCTGGACTTGGGCATTAGTGAAATTTAGATTAAAAACCAAAGGGTAAAAAGAAGCCCAAACTCGTTGCCATCAAGTTGATTCTGACTCATAGCGACCCTATAGGACCCTAAATTTTTTTGGAAATTTAGATTAGAAGGCAGGATATGGATAAGAAAATGTACAGAGTCCTCAGTAATAACAACAACAGATAATACTATGCACTTTGTATGTTATTGTTAGCTGTGTCGAGTGTGATCCCATGTCTCCTCTCTAAGCCACCCATAGCAGGGCTGTTGGGAAGAGTAAAGAAGATAAAGTGTCCTATGGTACTCAGCACAGTGCCTGGCAGAGAGAAATAGTGACGCCCCTTCCCGCTCCCCATCAAACCCGGTCCCAGCATGCCCTACGGCACTGACCCTGTGAACGGCTGGAGCTCATGGGGGAGGGAGAGGACACCTACCTTTCTCAGCTCCTGTCTCATCGTGCTTCTCCAAGAGTAGGTAGCGTGGGCTCTCGGGGAAAAAGGGCAGGCTCACCAGCTGGATGAAGGCAGGGACGACAATCACTCCAAATAGGTATGGCCAGGTACTCTTCTGCGGGGAGATGAAGGTGCTGCTGAATGGAGGTGACCTTTGGTCATTATACTGGGGACTGGGCCATTTGACTCTCTGCAGAGTCTCCTCCTTCCCAGTATGATCCCCAAAACAAAAGTCAAGGGAAGAGAACTGCTGTTGGTTAAATACCAGCCCTGTGTGTCCAGCATTTTTCATGCATGAGGTCAGTGAATTCTCGCAGCCCTGTGAGATAGTAACCTGTGGGGTTGAGAAGAAAAATCAGGGTGGCCAAGGGTCTAAAATGCCCAAAGCCACTGAGTGGGCACAAGGGACTCTGGGCTGGCTAATTCCATGGGCTCTGCAGGCACCATGGTGAACACCACCAAGGGACTCTGGGCTGGCTGACTCCATGGCCCCTGCAGGCACCATGGTGAACACCATAAAGGGACTCTGGGCTGGCTGACTTCATGGTCCCTGCAGGCACCATGGTGCATACCATACAGGGACTCTGGGCTCTTCCCCGGTTGTGTGGTCTTGGAAACCACTTGCACGGCTCCTTGGAATCTCTTCTTCACCTGTAGCATGGGGACGACCAGGGCCACCTCATTGTGTTGTGAGAATGGGTTCAGATAATGCTTTGATATGGGGCCTGACACACAGTAGGTATCTAGTAGCAGCTACCACTCGTGTTGGCAGCACCACCTAGATCACCTCCAAGGGCTGCCATATTTGACCCATCAGTGAAGATACAAGATAGACAGCTGAACTTCTCCAGTGCCCCCACAGAGGTAAGGGTCTGTTGGGGCTGGGGGCACAGGCTGTCCCTGAGGTAGGGAGGACTTTCAGTTTCTAGTAGGCCCTACAACATGCACTATTCAAGAGGCATTTTAAGTCATTTCAGACAGCACATTCATGCATAATGCTGCTTAAATGCAGCCTGAGTGGCATTATTGTGCCAGTTAAGGCTGCATTCTTCCTGGTCTGCTTTTTTCACCCAGGTTTCCAAACAAGCTCTCAATATGTGGCTGAAATAAGAGAATTTCTCTTAAGAGGCAGTTCTGATGGGGAGAAAGATAAAAAGCAAAGGGCTCAATGCCAAATTCTTGATATGTTTCATTTCTTAAGAAAGTAAAAAAAAAAGAAAAAAAGGAGAAAATATGACACATTCAGACCTGAAAAGACTTCACACAGTAGGTGGAGGTTCAGGTGGCTTCAGGTCTGGATTCTGTGGGAATGCCTCCATAGGATCCTTGAGCATCAAAACTGGTGGCAACCTCAGCCTTCAGTCTCCCTATCTCTGTTAACAGTTGTTCTCTTGTAGGCAAAATTTCCTTATGTTATTCTCCGAGAATTACTTCCTACTGGGGCCGTTGATGACAAAGGCCCCATATAAGTCCTAGGATGGCACTGGGTAGAGCAGACAGGGACTCTTGAAGCTCAGAGCAGGGAAATGATTTGCCAAAAGGCGCCTGGCCAGTGCTTGGTCCAGGTCTTGGTTTTTCGAGGTACTTTTGATTCTACTTGCCTTGTTGTACATAGTCCCTGGGCAATGAAAATGGTTAACACACTCAGCTCCTAACCGAAAGGTTGGAGGTTCAAGTCCATCCTGAGGCGCCTCGAAACTAAGACCTTGTGATCTACTTCCAAAGAAACCACCCACTGAAAACTCTCTGGAACACAGCTCAACTTTGACACGCATAGGGTTGCTGTGAGTCTGGGTCACATTTGACAGAAACTGGTTATACTGGTTTTCTGTACATACTAACAACTGATATTCACAAAACTCTGATTTCACCAGTCAACACAGTTCCTCCGTTGTTCTTTGAGTAACTGGCAAGTTCCATGCTAGCTTTGCAGTTTGGTGGAGGGTGGTATCTCAAAGAAAAGGAACCCTGGTGGCACAGCATTTAAGTGCTCAGCTGCTAACCAAAAAGGTCAGTTGTTCGAACCCACCAACCGCTCCACAGGAGAAAGATGTGGCGGTCTACTTCCATATAGATTTACAGCCTAGAAAACTCTATGGGGCAGTTCTACTCTGTCTTATAGGGTTGCTATGAGTTGGAATGGACTCAATGGGTTAGCGCCTAAAAGACCATGAGATTAGTGGTCAGCAGTGGCTTGGGGGTGATGGGAATGGTGAGTAACTATTAATGGGTGTGGGGTTTCCTTCTGGCATGATGAAAACGTTCTGGGATTAAATACAGGTGATGGCTGCACTAATTTGTGAATATACTAAAAACCACCAAGTTGTTCTCTTTGAATAGGTGAATTTTATGGTATTGAATTATACCACAGTTTAAAAAAAAAAGGACTTGGGAGGAAAAAATGACAAGTAGAGCTGAGTTTCTACTATATTTTTCTGTGTGTGGTATTGTTTTTTATTTTGTTTTCTCTCAGAGTTTGGCTGCTGCCCCCAGAGTTATGGATTGAACCGTGTACTCCAAAGATTGATGTTGAAGACCTAACCCCTGGTACCTGTGAATGTGACCTTGTTTGGAAATAGGGTCTTTGAAGATGCTATCAGTTAACATGAGGTCATATCAGAGTAGGGTGGTATCTTAGGCTAAGTTCTCTAGAGAAGCAAAACTAAAGAAGCATATAAATACATACATATAAGAGAGATTTAGATCAAGGAAATGGCTAGAAAGTCCCAAGTCCGTGGGTCAGGCTGGAGGCATCTCCTGACTCACAGAGGTGCAGGGACTGGTGAACACAAGATCAGCAGGTCAGACAGCAGACCTCTGGTTCACAGGCTGTGGAGGCTGATGAATCTCAAAACTGGCAGGTAAGGTGCTAGCTCAAGTCAGATGAACAGGAGCCAGCTGTAGGATCCAGAGAAAGCAAGAGTCAATGAGCTTTGCCAGAAAGTCCAACAATATTGGATGCAGGCCATACCCCCAAGGAAACTCCCCTTCAACTGATTGGCTGCTCATAACAGATCTCATCATGGAGGTGAATAACATTATTACATAGCTACCAAACTACATCATAACTGTCAACCCACTGAAAATCATGGCCCAACCAAGTTGACACACAATCTTTAACCACCACAGGTGGGTTCTAATTTCTGTGTGGTGTCCTTATAAAAGGGGAAGAGAGACAGAGAGAATGTGGTCATGTGACTAGGGAGTTATGCTGCAGCTACACACCAAGAAACGTCTGGAGCTGCCAGAAGCTGGGCGACACAAAGGGAGATTTTCCCCTAGAAACTTTGGAGAGAACAAGGCCCTGCCATCACCCTGAACTCAGACCCACAGCCTCCAGAACTGTGGGACAATACATTTCTGTATTGATGAAGAAATTGAATTTGTCAAGGATTTCATTCTACTTTAATCAACAAGTAACACCCATGGAAGCAGCAGTCAAGAAATCAAACGATGTATTGCATTGGGCAAGTCTGCTGCAAAAGACCTCTTTAAAGTGTTAAAAAGCAAAGATGTCACTTTGACGAGTAAGATGCACCTGACTCAAGCCATGGTCTTTTCAATCGTCTCATATGCATATGAAATCTAGACAATGAAAAGGAAAACTGAGGAAGAATTGATGTCTTTGAATTATGGTGTTGGCGAAGAATATTGAATATACCATGCACTACTAGAAGAACCAACAAATCTGTCTTGGAAGAAGTACAGCCAGAATGCTCCTTAGAAGCGAGGATGATGAGAAGCCACCTGCTTTCTGGTATTTTGTTACAGTAGCCATGGGACACTAATACAGACACACTCTGTTTCCTTGAATGTACAAATTAACATCTCTGGAATCTTACAGTCGGTGAATACACTTAACGTCAGATGACTCTTATTCCTGAGTGGCTGTTATCAAGTCTGTGGTACAGCCCACCATTGGCAGTGTCTTAAACTCAGAGAAATGTAGAGTGTATCTTAGAGAGATCACTCTGATGGCTGTGGTCTGGGCTCCACCTCTGGAGAAGGGCAACGCTGACCCCAGGGTAAGTGACCCTCAGCCTGGAACGCTGACGTTGTCTGGACCACGGGAAGACAATGGTGGTGGTTGCCCACTTGGTACCAGATAGAGGAGAAGGTGCGGGTCAGGGTTTACTCCTGTTTACTCAGGAGGGACTGAGCTTAGCAAAAACCAGAGTCAGTGAACTTAGCTTCCTCCAGTGAATGTTTGAGGTTTCCTGGAAATGACAGCTAACCATAGGGAGATGCGCTATATTTGAGTGAATCGTCCCATCACGTTCTGCCAAGAAAAGTGTAATTGGGTGTGTGTGACCTAGAAGTCTATTTGAAAAATGGAAAACCTGCAGACTGAAGAGCAAGATAATAGAGTTATTACAAGACCTACTTACCTTACTTGATAGGGCATTAAAAACTAACTCAGCTAGCGAGGTGATACACTTGTCTTTCCCCTGAGTAAGATAAGCAGGTGTAAGAACTCTGACCTGAGTTCATAAAGATGGAAGCTCCGGGTACCCGGCTCTAACTGGGACAACAAAGGCTCCTTCGGGGTTTTACTCTTGCTACAACATGGATGAACCCTGAAAACGTTATGCTGAATGAAATAAGTCAGACACAAAAGGACAAATATGGTACAGTCCCACTTATATGAAATATCTAGAATAGGCAAATGTATAGAGACCAAAGCTTATTCGTGGCTACTAGGAACTGGGGGAAGGATGGAAGGGGAAGATGGGGGGTATTGCTTAAAGAGTATAGAGTTTTTGTTAAGGGCGATGAAAAAAGTTGGGAAACGGACAGTGGTGATTGTTACACAACATGGGGATCATAATTAATGTCACTGTACATGTGAAAATGGTTGAAATGTTTTGTTACATATGTCTCACCAAAATAAAAATTAAAACAAAAAAGCTTTCCCAGTACTCTGAAGAGATTTGTACAAGTCAGTTAAATTATATAAATAAATAACCCCCCCAAAAGTACTTTTTAAAAATGCTAAAGCTTCTCTACATGGTATCTTATTTAAAAAAAAAACAAACCAACCAAAAAAAAACAGTTGCCACTGAGTTGATTCTGACTCACGGCAACCCTGTGTGTGACAGAGTTAAACTGTGCTCC